AAGATCTGCGTACCTCCCCGTCCAGTTACTGATTACTCTGAAATTAGATAGTGCTAGGAAGGGCAGTCTGTCGATTTTCGCATATAGCTTCAGGGCTGTGTCCCTTATGTATGAATGAGGATATAACACTATTTAACAGCAATTTTGGATTTATTTATACCACGGCATTTTACTTATAAATAGTAAATCAAATAGTAAAATCTAGTAAATCAATAACAATTTGTTCTCTTAAATAAAGATTTAGTTTTCATCGTAATTATTATTGTAAGACCAGATATATAGTTGTTCGTCACCTTATATTAATTTTGTACCATCACTCGAACGTTACATATAATAATTTGCGTTGATATACTCTATTGTAGATTGTTACAACAGTGTTTATTTAACATTCTTTCTTAATATTTTTCTTCTTTCTTTCATATTCTTCAGTATTATCTTCTTTTTCTATAATGCAAACTATTTCTTACTCATTATAGCATTTTATACGGACCTCTTCCGACTTAATAAAGCAAATTGTTTTATTTAGACGAGTAAATATCTTGGATCGATATTTGCAGTTTAAAATTTATATATGGAGAATTAAACCAATAAATTTTTTCAAAGATCACTGTGTATCAAAACACGGGTCTATGATTCAAAGTTAGCAGAATTCAATTTCCTGACACTTGCAGTTCAAAATTTATATACAAACATATAAACCAACAGATTTTTATAAAGACAATTGTGTATTAAAAAATGGGTCTATAGTTCAAAATTGATAGGGTCCAATTTTCTAACAATTGGAATCCAAAATTTATATACGCTCAATTAAATCAGAAGATGTTTACAGCAAGCACTGATAATGAATATTTGACAATGTTTCGAATACCTCTACGGTTAACCGAAGAATATATATAGTCCCATTTTCCTCTTCAAAATAGATTTATTGTCATACAACATAAAATTCTTAATTAGGTATTGATATTTGGAATAAAAGTTACATAAAATTTATTTCAACTTAAATGTTTATAGACTTCCTTTTAGTCAAAGAAAAATACAGTCAACAATATTTTATAAATCTTCAAATTGAGTGTAAGATTACTTTTATTTTATATAATTCTGGTATCCTTCCATCTTTGAATTTTGTTACTTTTTAACTGGAAATCAATTTATTTGCCAAATCATAAAATAACATTGAAAAGTTGATCGTTAACAATAAAATAACAAATCGCATAAAATACCTGTGACTTCCATTAGTATCCTGTGAAGTGTCCTAAAAGTGTCTGTCTGTCCGTTCAACGGAGCGCGTGCTTATTGTTCCGTTCTCTGCCAGTGCAGTCTATAAGCGGCCATTTGGCCGCGTGAAGTTGTGGTGTCATGCTGATGAGGCTAAAAAGTAAATTGCCGCATTGGTAAATACCTTGAAGAACCTTTCGCATTTTAATTTAAAGCACGTTTTCCGAGCAACTGTTAACAGCAGCAGCAGCAGCGATTGGCAACACTTATTGCTTCAAGTGTTACGTACCATTGTGCCATGAAAGCTATACTCTAAATCCAAAGCACTTACAACGGCCGCGGCGGTAGGAGACTCGGTAAGTGATGGCAAGTGTTTGGGTAAGGGGAAGGTAGTCAATATTATTGGCATGTAATAAAAACTACACGAATAAATCGTGAACTCTGGCAGTAAAAACTGTTGCTGCACGAAGGAAAATTTCCGTTACTAAAGCTATTTGACGCCATTATTTAATCCTTACTGAAATCATTTTACTAGCAAATAGCATTAAGTTAAATACCAACAGTTGCCGACAGGTATTATTATTATTATTGTTGGTGTTGTTGGTGTTGTTGTTGTTAGTGTTTTAGTCTAAGATTTATTGTTGTTGTTGTTGTTGTTGCTTTCTCATTGCTGCTATTGATATTGTACCTTTTAGTGGTGGCAAATAATCTGGCAATCTGCTGATTTATATTGTCGTCACGTTTATGCCAGAAATCGTGTTAATCGTGTCATTCCCGTACTCGTACTCGTACTCTTACTCGTTCCGTTTACTATTGCAGCCATCATCAATATTGTCCTTGCTGGCAGGAATATGCTGCTTGCAATAGATTACATTGCATTTTAATATATCTGTATATATATTTACTTTCAACGTCTTAGAATCATAGTGTTTAGTTCGATATTTTCTTTATAGTTTTTTGTAACTCAAGAAGGATTTGAATTTAAAACACGTTCCAGCACAAAATTCACGCAATTATTTTCTAATAATGAAAGCAGCAATCTCAGCAGAAAATTAGCAATTGCTAAGCTAGAACGCAGCTAGAATGTCAGCAATGAGAGAAAGCAACTGTTGCAGTTTTAAGTTGAAATTGATAAAAAAAGGACAATTGGACAAGTGTGAAAATGTCAGGACATTCAATGAAAAGTAAATGGCAAAATGGACTGTCAAAATGCTTCAAATTGAAAATCGAGCAAAATTTTATGTGCAAATATTTGCACATGAAGTTCCTTCTTCTGCTGCAGTTGCTGGTTCCTGGTTGCTGGTTGCTGGTTTTATGGTCGCTGTTTTTGATTTACGTTGCGTATACGCAATCATAAAAACTGAGCATAAAATTGAGAATAAAAATAATTTATTTTTATTTTCATATAAATTGTCATCAATTAATTGACGCCTGCTCAATTGTTAACGAAATGAATAAAAATAAAAGGAAGTTAATTTTAAAAATAACTACAAAAAATGAAATTGCTGACAAAAATGACAGCAACAACAACAACAAAAAACCGAGAGCAATGTTATTAAGAAAAATTCAGCATTCAACAATGGTGGATGGAATTGAATTGTGATGAAAGCATCTGTAAATGAATAATGATGCAATTCAGATATTCAATTCAATTTCGACGTTTCGCACTCGCTCATTAATTTATGACAGCAATTTTTAACGCTTTATAACGCATTGCTCTTCGCTTGCTGCTGGCTTCTGGCTGCTGTTGGTTACTGGCTGCTGTTGGTTGTTGCCAGCCATTGATTGTTGAGGAGCGAATGTTGCAAGTGACAATTGCAGCAATAGCTTTTAGTTGTGCTTCAACAAAGTCAGCTATATTGCAGCAGTAAAAATACGAATAATAGTGACTGGCAATAATGGCAGCAATAACGGCAGCAGCAGCAGCTGCAGCAACAATGACGATTGAGTGCTTTTCCAAATCGAACTTTTCAATTGAGTTTTGAGTTATGAGTGATTCGTCCTATTTCAATGAAAAGGACTTCAAAATAAATGTCGAAATTGACGTCGAAATATGTTGTTTAGAAGAGTCGTCAAAATCAGTTGGGGTCAGTCAGTTGTGCAGCTTCAAATGCAGCTAAAAGTCAATTTTCTTTTTAAATGAATAGTAACTTAAAGCATTGAATTGAAAATTAATTAATTATCAACATAAGTATCCTTCCGCAGGACTTGTTCTGAAGCAAGTATAACCAAAGATAAAAAGATTTGGATCTGAGTTTAATCTGAGTTAAAAAGATCTGCATTTAATATCTTCTGCTCTAATAATTATTATAATGAAAGTAACAAGCAGATATGTATAATAATTTGAAAATTGGTATCAACATTGTTATACCAAATTTTAACAATATTTATATAAAAATTTAAAAAAAATAGAAAAGCAATCTATAACACAACGGAATCATTTAATCAGGACGATTTAGCATTTGTGTGACCTACAATATATACTAACGCATTGTTAACGTTATAATGATGGTATATTGCATCGGAACTTTAAGATTTATTGTGCCGCCCTATTTGGACCTAAAATCATATTTCTTCAAAAAATACTAAAACTTGACCTACTCTTCGAAGTTTTACTCAACCGTTAATTATTGAATATCCATTCAAAACTTTCTTTCATTTAAGAATTGAAGTGTTTCATGCTCTGCTTCTCTTTGCAGAACTTGCAGATTCCAGTATACATGAAACAAGGTTTTATTAAAATTTCTGTCATAATTTAAAAATTATTTTTGTTAAATTTAGACATTCCTTACAACGATTTACCTCCGCCATAACCCGTGCCTAGCTCAGTTGAAAGAGGACGAAGGAATACGAGCAACTAGTCTGAATGACTTTTGAACACCCTAGCGTCTCATGATATAGGTGAGGACAAACAACTATTTTAGAACTCACTAAGAAAGTTGCTTACAATAGTCTTTAAACCCTACACTCATTGACTAATTGCTGCTCATACTCGCAACAAACACGAAACAAAATCACATCGGAATTATTTCTTCACGGGATAACCGGTCTCTACGATCCCCCTGCCACGACTGCAGTCATATCGGATGTGGAGACGACAAATTCACGTTCAAGTATTCAGATGAATGAAACCGAAATAATAGGCCCTATGTGAAACACAGGAGAAAAGAACAGCAGTAAGTAAGTTATAACGATTTATCGAGATAGTCGGATATCGATGAAAAAGGCAAAACTCTTCGACGTGATAAAAACCATTATCAAAGAGCTATTAGATTTATAAACATTAGATAATGTTTGCTACTTAACTTTTGATATGAGAAAGTTCTTGAAATGAATAACGCTTCTATCACAGGCAAGAACAATTCTTTTTGTGGACTCTGTTGCCATTCCAATACAATGAGAAACAACTATTTGGGTGTTATTGTATTGTTTATTAACCAAAAATATATTCACGTTTAATTTTATATTTATAAATTTGAAAATGCAATAAAAGTAGGCGTAGTGGTAATAACGGTAGCTACTTGATACTACCAATCAATGCCACATATGATAAGATAATGTATAGTTATTAATATGGTTAATATGGTTTAGTCTCTCGCCAATTCTTACGATCATCGATATACGTAGTCTGGCAACTATGGGTATAGGCCATTAGTGTAGTAGCACATTTTCAGATGTTGTTTTGTAGTGTCTAAAAGAAAATATTATAACATTAAAAATGATTATAAATAGATATTCTGACCCCTATTCAAAAAAATAGGGGTTTTATATTTTTCAGCTGTTACGGTCCGTAGCCCATAATTCGATTTGAAGAACTTAATTTGAATTCAAAAAGAATGCCTTATTATTGGTTATGGATTTCAAAGGTTCAATTCGGATTACTTAGTTGGACACCTACCTTGCATTCAAAAGAATAAGTTTGAAGTTAAATTTACTTACTTGTTTTGGGGACACAATACTGATTAGTATGCCAATATCTTCGTTTAATGTAATGTTCATATGGAAAAGTTTTCATTAAATTAATTACATGGGTGCCGTGTTTTACTTGATAAATTAATTCCATGAGTGCCGTGTTAAATTAGTTCTTGGAATTTTATTAATATATTAGCTTTGTCGATAGATTATTAAAGTAAATGTGACACTCTATATGGATATGGAAAAACATGTGGAACATTCAATATTACACACGTGGTCTTTATCTACAGAATATATATGTCTCGTATATGAGAAAAATGTTCTCATAGTCCATTTTGCAGTGTAGACATTAAGGATGTGGATCATGATGGATACTTATCCCATAGATACGCACTATACAAACTTCAATGCAGTATCCATAGCAGATTCTTCGATGTTCTCATTGAGTTTACAAAGTGATACGTGTATTAACAATCACCTGATCTAACTTCAGTAAATGGACTGCATCATAGGTTGTCCTGTAAATTTTGATCTGCATTCGGCCAATATTTTTTATTAAGTTAGTTATTCTTTAGATGTTATACGGCTTCATAACTAACCATTAAATTCGATTACTCGTTTTTGTTTGCACTTAAGAGCTTTACTACTGCTTCATCTGAGAATGTTTTTAAACAACAATCAAACGCTGCTTATATAAATTGTTAGTTTTGACACTACTCACTTTTAGATCTCCATGATGATGTGTTTGAAGCCTTTTTAAAAATAGATGATACTTTCATTGTAAAAATATCTTTCCGACCTTTTCAATTATTAAATCGCTTTTGTTATGCAAAGGTGGTCAGTTGCTACGTTGTTAATTAAATTTTAACCTTTGCGTATATAAATCCTTTATATTTATGGCAACAAGAATTAATCATTAATATAAGATAACTATAGCACAATATAGAAAGTACACATTATATACCTGATGTTAGCTATTGGTTTTGGTTATCGGTGTTTTTTAGCGGCTTCGCATCTTTTGCAGCGTTTTTCGGGGACCGATTCAGTACTTTTTTTAGCTTTCTTCTTACGCTTACTTTCATCATCTTCTTCCTCATCCGGTTCAAGTAACTCATCGTTTACCAATTGGTAGAAGTCACTTCCACTGTCGCTCGATTTCTTCACGTAAACCATAAAATCGTCTTTGGGTGGCTCTTTCTTTTCTTTTTCTAAAGCTACCAAAGGCCCAAGAAGAACATTATGCACCACCTCAATAGGCAACTAAAAATATTGATTTATAACATATATAGTGATAGTTTCATTATATTTGAGTGGGAGAGAAACAAGCTTTGATTTAACCATTAAAATATAAAAAAATTTTTTAAAACCAGAATAAAATTTTTCTGTCAAAATTGATTTTTATGCTCTCTACATAGTTTTTTTTTTTGCTTACTTATATATTATACTTATATGTTGTACTCACAAAGTGCTAGCTTTTGGGAGAGAGTATATAAGTCAACATATCTCATTGTATTTATAACCTGATACGCACTATTTTTTTTATAAATATCAGATTATATACTTGTCGTACTCAATGAAAGTCTTCGCATAACCTTAGTGTACAGTACGTACATGGAGTTTCGTCCGCAGAACTTAAATTTTAGGTTTTGCACAGGATTTGACACTCGTCAAATGAAATCAACCACCAATGAGAGACTTGGGCTGCGCCAAATCGAACCCGGGGAATGAGTTATTATAACGAGTCCAAAGCTCTATAGTATTTAATGAAGCACATACTTTGAACTATGACAATAAGCTTTCTATAATAACTCTAATTCCTAATTTTCTTAACCAAACACTTAACCTTAACTAGCAGATTAGAGAAAATGATTCCCTTTTAAAACTGGTATTTATTTTAATATATATAATAAGTGCTTAAAATTAATTAAATAAAATATATAAGAACTACTTACTTGGCAACGAGCTGCAATTCTTCGAATCATGGCATCATTATTCGACGGCCGGCACTCATCTAAAGTTTTTAATATTAATTCTACAATATTATCAAGATTGTCCATGATGTGTGATGAACCTTAATACTTTTAACTATTGTAAAAGTTTTAACTATTGTATTTGTAAATATAAAAACTTACGAAATTATTATGAACAAATATAATTTACATCTGCTGAGCCAAAAAATATGAAACACAAAAACAATTTAAATTTTTTATATTATCTACAGTTTGAATGATTTTCAAACATAAACGTATATATATCAACGCCTGCTATTTGACAACCAAATTTAAAACAATAACTTCAAAACTGTATAGTTTTAGAGTAATTGGTTTTGTATACAGAATTTAAAACAGTTAGAATTAAATTTCAAATTGAACATATTTAGTTGTTCGAAAAAGATTAAAATATTTGTATATATTTTATAAATAAAATGTGTTTTGCATTTTTACTAGAATTAATTTTTTTAATAAAAGTCTGCTAGCACATATGCACATAATAGATCTTAAATATTAGAACTGACCACATTTCCATTGCGTCAAAGCGGGAGAATGAAACAATAACTAAGTCTCTCTTTCAATACATTATTAACGACATAATAGGCTGCATCAACTCGCTCTTAAATTAATATAAAGCAGTCCCGATTTTAACACTATTTGCGACTAGGGTAAAATTACTACGGTAGTCTCCATTTACTATCGGAACCCACATGAAAAAACAATCATTTCAGGTGATATTGCTGTTTTTTTTCGTCCACCACCATAGCGTTTAGCAACGCTATCTTTTCTATTATAAAAATTTCTGGTACTATACATAAACATGTTATGCACTTTAAGGTGTTTGAGCTCATGAACAGTAGCTAGTTGTGATTTTCCAGCCAAATATAACGCAATTACACGTTTGAATTCCATTTCGAATTACTTTTGTTCTATAAAACTTAGACGCAAATGCTTGTGGTAATATAGCTTGTAAGCAATATAAACAGCTGTCATTCGTATGTATTTCACGTAGTTGACAATATCAATTTGACAGATACACGTGTGTGTAGTTGGCAGCACTTTAATCGCGTAACCCCTTATATCCAAATGTTTACCTTCAATTGGTATTGAAGAAAGTACGTGGATTTCCATTGGAGACGTCTAGTTTTGCATTATACTAAGATATGTGCTAAGAGCACCAAAACCCCCGACCTTGATTATATTCCTTTACGTTATAGAAAATAATGTGCATTCTAAAAATTATTTCCGATTTGATCATATGCAGAAAAAAACAGCAGATTCTAATGAAATTTAAATAAAATGTGAGATTATCCCTCTATCAGATAAACTTTCGTAGACATTCTAATACATCCGCAAAGACTTATAATTTGTTTACTTTAAATGTACTTCCTTAAGAAGCAAACAAATTAATTTTAATACTAAAATAAAATCAGAAAAATAACGAAATCTTATCAAAAAATAAATCTTTTAGTGAAAAAATTAATTTACAAACAGGGAAGGATAAAAGTATTTGGCAACGCAAACACTTAATATGCACACACACATGTATACAAATAAATACCCGCGGTAAACCGAATTACATATTTGAATTTAACATGAGTTTATCTTCGTCCTGTGCGAAATCCTTTACATTTGTTTGCCTAATGCAAGTGAGCCTGTGAATTTTTGCTCCTGTGACGTATGTGTGTGTGTGTTTGTTGTTGTACTGTTTACTCATACATATGCCTTTAACAAATATCATCTTGATTAAAAACTTTAAATTTGAGTTCGGCAAAAAGTTAAGCAGCACAAAATTGCATTTGAACAGGTTGCAGTGCAAATTGCAGCGCCTGGCAAAGCAAACTCATTTCGGCACAAAACTCACAGACGCACACCGCAAGAAGTTTTCCATAGGTCGGTCGGTGAGTCTATAAAAGAGAATCCTCAACGAGGACAAAAACTTCACTTGTGTTTAGGAAGCTTACGTACTTCGCAAATTTTGTAAACTTGCACTGCGACTAGACCTGAGCATTTCTATTCAGCAAAGAGAATCGCGTTAAATTATGAAAATACAAAAACAAATAGAGAAGATTGAAATATTTAAATTTACTTGATTTAGACTAGTTATTTTTGGTGTATTTTAAAGTTTTCGCTTTTTATTATGAACTTCATATGGAATTTTAATAAATTATTTATGAGATAAAAATTAAGTAACTATCGTAACTGTGTGGGAGTCATCTGGTAACACTAGTGATTGAGTGTCTTGAAAGGACGAGCAACTTTTGCCAAAAAAGAAAGTATGGATGTAATGGGTGACGGATCAAGTTGGATCACAGACAAACTTGTCATGTAAGAATTAGCCAAAACCAATGAGAAGAGGTTATTTATTCTCATTCATTTAAAAAGACAAGGGCAAACAGAGTTACTTATAAAGCAATCTACCAGATTTATCACAATCAAAACCGCTTGCCAGAACATTTGACTTTAAACACTTTAAACATTAAATGCAACTAAATAAAATCAACTTAAGGATCATTATAAAAATTCTGATGAATTACGGTTCATTTAAAGTCATATCATTTCCTCCGAAAACTGAAAAGTCACTCCAATGACTTGAATCACAATGTTACTCCAAACACAAACAAACTTGCCAGGAAAGAAATAGCCGAAAACCTTCTATAGTTTGGGAAGAGCTAATTTCTGCTCATCTGTTTAAAAAGAAAGTATACTGCGACAATTTACCGAAGCTATCGCAATCAAAACCGCTTAACAGAACTTTCGACCTAAATCGGTTAAAGAAGTACATGCAACCAAATAAAAACAAGTTAGGGATCTTTAGATGAATTCTGAGGGATGAATTACAAAGAACTAGGTGCTTACTTTTATAACTTGTAGCTTTTATAGTGAACGACAATAAAACCACAAACCGCGCCCTAGGAGCTTCATCATCTTTAATGCACAAACAACAGAAATGTCTTCTTCATCTATCAGAGAAAAAAATGAAACTTGATGAAAAGAAAGCTTTTCTCTTCTCTCTCTTTCAGCACTAAAATTTATAAGAAAATTAGAAAATTAGAATAAGCTGGGCCAATTTGTTAGAATCAAAACCGCTCTTCGGAACATCTAACTTCAATCGAATTGAAGATTACATGCAGCAAACAAAAGTAACTTTGGAATTATTACATGAAATCTAATAGGACAGTATAGGTTGAATAATCCATTTACGAAACTGAATACTTACTCTAATGTGTATTTTGATTTTGTAGTAGAAGAGGATGAGACCACAAATCACGTGCTAAGGTCCTATCCGTCATTGACGCATAAACAAAAGAAATACTTTTTTCATTTGTTATCAGAAATTAAACTTGTTGAAGCCTATTACCACCTGCCTATCACCACCTACAGAGCGCGAACAAATGCAATGACGATGAGGTTTTTATCCGCTTTTTAGGATTTTCAAACAAAACCAATTAAATAATGAAAATTAAATTTTTATAAAATAAATAAAATATAAAAATATTTTCTTACCTGACAATTCAAATTTATTGCAAGGCATTGTAAAGACATAAAATGGTTTGTGTATAAGCTAGTAAACAAATGGATGCAAATGTGGACTGTGGCTACCGTACAGTATGACACAAAATATATTTTTAGCAAACAGTACGCATAAACTTCTATGAAATAACATGGTATTTTGGCAATGTGTTTTCATATTATGAGATTCAAACTCCCGTATAACATGGGCATTCCCCCATATAACGCGGGGATTTGTGCAGTTCATAATTGGCTTCGCGTACTTTTGCGCACTGTATACGGTTATACCCCAATAATGCGTTTTCCTATAACACGGAACCAATCTACCGCGTTATGTGAGGAATTACTGTTTTTATTTATTTTTTATTTTAAAATAAAGACAGTCGCTGTTTGTTTATAAATAAAATAAAACTATATAATTAATATATGTTACTTTTGCATGTTATTCCGTTCTAATTGTTGTAATTGTAAATCTGTTATTATTTGAAATATTTTTTTTTTCGCTACAATTTTGAGATCAACATCGAGCGCACTTAGCTCCTCATCTATACAAGCAGCAAATACTGACATTGGTTTATTTGTGTCCGATGTAGTAACTGCTTCTGTTATTTCTTTTGATACCATAACCGAGGGGTTAACCACTGTCTGTGTGCATGTTTCCTTCATAACATCTTTCTTCGTATGCGGATGTTGCGTTTCACCAGTTTCACTTGCTGAATGGAGCGACATCAATTCGTTTTTCTTTCTAGGAGGTTTTTCCGCTATACTGTCAAATGTAAAAGATTGCTTACGTTTTTGCGTTTGTTGCGAAGTGGTTGGAATGCAGCTTACAGGTGGATATGTTTCCATTACCATAAACGGAGTAAGTGGCTCATTTACTTCTATTTTGATCATTGGCTGTGCATTCTCATAGTTAAAAGTACTAGCTTTAGCATTGCATGGTGTTGCTAAATCAAAAGAAAATTCACTAATTTCGCTAAAATCTGCAGCATGATTATGTAGGGCCTACAATTGTATACAAATATTTAATATTAAAATGTATTTATAGCTTCCTTTTATTGAAAGTACTGACATAGTTTCTAGGCTGTGCGGTGGCAGTTGATAGAAATTCCAATATCTGTCTAAATTTCCAACTATTTTTGACTGCGCAGAGCTCTTTTTCGTCTGCACCGTTTTTAGCGGCTTTCATAATTCTAAATGTTTCTCGGCTGTAGTACGTCTTCAGATTGTTCCACTTTTTTATAATGGCGACTATAAATATGATAATTTTCACAAATCATGTATATCATAATAAATATTGACTTTTAATCATTTATATATAATCTAATATATAGTGGAATAATAGTGGAATGCGAAGTTAAGAGAAGATCAGGTTAGGTAGAGATGGTGCAGACTGATACAATTATCAACTCTGATACTCGGAGACAGTGCGCGATAACACTACCCTGCACTTACCTTTTTCAAAGGGCGTCACGGGTTCGAACTCCTCGTTCATCTCATTAGCAGTATTTTCCCAAAAATTGTACCTTTTTAACTTATTTTTATGAAATACATGATTTGAATCCCAAATAAATGGACTATTATACACTTTATGCACCAGAAAATATACGTACGAATCCTTCCACATTATTCTACTTTGCAAACACGTGTTCTCATAGTTTTAAATATTTAGTTGTCTCGCTTTCGCAAGCTATTACTGTTCCTTTCCTTTTTTACTTGTTTAGCATATTAAAAAAAAAAAGTAGAATCATATAGTCATAGTATCATGAGGTTTGATTGTAAGCTGCTACATATCCATCAAATGCAAATGATTATCTTAAGAAGTACTCAACAAGATAGATGATCAACCAAACCGCACCGTTCTATCGAATTACCAAAATTCCTTCACCTAACAGTATCACGCTTGGTGCAATATTTTTCTGTACCATTCTTTTCTTATTCTCGCTCCAATATTCATCACTTTCCTCAAGGCCCACTCTAAGTGTATATTGTGTTTTCATGGTCCAGCTTTAAAGATTCAAAAGTGGCACAGTGGGTGGTATAAATCATTCAGCCCATTAATGTGTGACTCTCTTTAGACAAACTACTTATGAAATTTTCAATCTAAAATATAGCCAGAATAGGGTACAACTTAATATAATATTATCTATCTGTAATTAGAACCAGATGATTAAAAAGTAAAAGATTTGTTGCGAAATTCCTTTTTTCCTTGTGTTATTACAATTAAATCATTGATAACTTTTTTTTGAATTAAAAAATCAAAAAATTATAAATTTCTATTTTGATATAAATATTAATTTATTTTTTCAAACTGATCAAACTTTTCTTTATAAAACAGATATGCCACTTCACTCTGTTTGTTTTATTTAACATGGGTGACTTGAATAATTTATAAAAATTTAAATAATTTTACAAAAATTCGTCTGTAACTGCAAGGCAATGCATACAAAAATAGTTTAAACTTAATTCATATAAAAGCTTTGAGAATAGAAAATCATATTTAGATAAAAAATGGTGAAGAGTATCAGGGCGATATTCAATCATTTCTTCTTGGCATCCTTTAAACCAGCGCCTGCATTAAATTTAAAGAATATTATATCACCATCTTCGACAGTATAATTGCGTCCCTGTTGTCTATATTTTCCGGCAGCTTTTGCTGCAGCCTCACTACCTTCCTCCTTGAAGTCTTTGTAATGCATTACTTCAGCCATAATAAATCCTTTCTCAAAATCAGTGTGTATACGTCCAGCAGCAGCAGGTGCTTTTGTGCCTTTCTGTAATAAATAAAATAAATGCTTATTAAATATCATAGTATCAAATTATTATATTATTTATTATTTGCTTCTCACATTATTTATAGCAATTTATATTTATATTTATTAGAACTTCTAATTCTCTTGATCATGGCAATGCATACACAAATAGATTTTTGTTAATTTACTTTATAATGTTTATAATTATAATTTGGCTTTAACTATCAACTAATTTCATCCTTACATTTTTTTTCCCTTAAAGTTGTCCTATTATTAAAGTTACATTAACATTATCCATCCATAAATTACTATTTAGTACTAACAAAAATTAAACAAGAGTGTCGTGAATGAGTAGCTTTGAGATGCAAACCTGTAGTTATTGGCAAGCATGCGACACTGTTTAAAAAATATAAAATTTTGAAGGCGTGGGGACAACATACTTGCGCAAGTTTACTTAAAAATATTATTAATATTTTTATATATAATAAAACTTAACTCTTAGTTTTCATTTAACTCATTAATTAACTCCCGCCCTAGTTGCCAACTTGAAGACGCTATATAAACACTAGATAATGTCTACTACTCATCTATTTTAGATGTTATAAGGTTTAATCACATTATCTACTATAAATCCATTTTCAATATTACAAAATGCTACACTGTTTCTTAAATTTATAATTTCATATATATAAAACTAATTCTAATAATTCTAAAAGGCTTATATATAAATAAGCTACCTGTATGGTCCAAGCTTTGACTTCATCCTGCCCAGCAGTAAAGAAATATTCCAGCTGCAATCCTTTATATCCAGTAATAATAATTTTATCCAGTTGACTTTTGCATTTCACTTCATCTTCGTATGCTTTGCGCTCCAAATCGTCTTTTTCTGATAATTCATGTTCAAAAGCTCCAGAAAATGGTATAATTATTGCACCAGGGTCATGCTGATCTACCCACTCCTTAATCTTAGGTAGCCACTTATTCTTCTTCCGTATAAAATCTTTGTCCGATAAATTCACTAAATAGATAACTGGTTTCGATGTAAGGAAAAGATATTTGTTAAGGGTTTCAATCTGCATAAAAGAGTCAAAAAATTATTTTATATGCATTTCTTAAATGTCAATAATGAACCTACATCATGCGCATTCCAGTCAGCAAAACGTAACTGCTTCTTTTCATCTACCAAAACGGTTTTAATCTTACACATTGAGTCATACTCTGGCTTAAGCTTCTTGTCGCCACCTCGTGCTACAACTTTCTCCAATTTATCCAAATTTTGCATTAATTTTTCCTCATCCTTTAAACGCAATTCTTCTGAAATAATGTCTAAATCACGCACTGGATTAACTTCACCTTCAACATGCGTTACATCGGGATCTTCGAAGGCACGACATAAATGAAAAATAGCATCACAAGCGCTTATATGTGACAAGAAGGCATTTCCCAAGCCTTGACCTTCAGAAGCGCCCTTCACTAAACCGGCAATGTCAACTACGTTAAGATAAGCAGGTACTTTGCTGTAAACAATATAAAATGTAATAGCCCATTAGTATTACTATATACCTATTATAAATGTATTATTTATCTAAACTTACCTAGCTGGTTTGTGATATTCACACAAGAAATCGAAGCGGTCATCTGGTACCGGTACCCTACGTACTGGAAAACAACCAAAGCCGTAAGGTTAATGCACATATATAAAACTTAAGAATTATTACTATAATTAGAAATTTAAGTTCTTACGAGTAATTTAATCATGGTTTTAATGCCAAAGCTGTACATAATGTTAACGAGCGTTTAATCTTTATCTACTTTGCCACAGTGAACTGTTTTGATTTTTAGTTCGGAAAGCATTAAATCTGCACCGTTTCTTTAAAATATGCAAAACCGGCAATTGAATCCTTTAAATTGCAACTATCATGCGATGAGAACTCAAAAATACGCATCACAACTAATCATTGCAATTTTCTATAATTTCCTGCAATCTCGAGTGCCTGCAGCGATAACAGCCAACACAGTTTACTGCTTCACTGGTTGGCTCCGACTCGGTTTGATCTGTTGGTCTGTTGGAGCATTTACGCAAAATGAAGTCGATCAAATTAGTCGCCGCAATTTGCATACATATTTAGTTTTCCTCCACTCAAATTTGCTCAGCAATGAACCAGAAAAACCTGAAGATAATAGCTTATGAAAAGCAACGAACCACGCCCATTCTACAGTGGCCAACGGCAGCCTATATTATTTTTATAGAAATGCTTTAGCAGCGCATCAAAACTTATTTTGCGGAAATTATTATAATTTTCAAAAACAGCATTTAACAAAATATCAAAATGACAGGTTGGGATTTGTGGCTCGATGGACAATAATGGACAGCATTCAAAATAAGTATTGCTCGCGATGCAGTTACAGTTGCAGGACGTTATATTTAAAAATATCATACAGTAGCTAAATCGAGAGCTAAAAATTATTTTAATATTGTGTTTATTGAATGTCGTTACATGGCTTAAAAACAAGATATATGTACTCGTACATATACGGAAGCAACGCAGTAAAAAACTGGAAGTACCATTGACATTGACTACAGTCTTCTCGAAATTGTATAATTTCTGCATCAGATAATTAAATATCGAATTAATTAGTACACATAACTCCTTTGATAATATGTTATTTCATAAATGAATAAAATTAATTTTCACAGTTAAATATATTGGCCTAAACATTCTATGTCACACATAGTCCAGCACTGGCGAAAGCTTATTTGCGTTAAACTATTCATAAATTTTTTCTAATTCTACTCATACCACAACACAGCACAACATTGGCTAGGCCAGCACAACTCGAAGAAGAGTTGTGCTGGCAATGTTGCCTCGGGCGTGTAATTATCATAAAGACTTTAACAAAACAAAATTACAACTAAAATTGGATACTTATTCTCATTTGGATCAATGGTGCAGAAAGGAAAATTTTCAGCTGGAGCAGCACTTTTCGTCAAGACGTTGAAAAAGGTGGACTTGCCCACGTTCGGTACACCAACAATACCAATTCGTAGATTTGTGCCAATGCGCCCAATGAGTGGCTTACGCTCATGTTCCTCATGCTTTTTTGGTGGCATTTCGTTTCGATGTTAAGTTATACTGTAAAATAAAATCGTTTAAACAGATGTTTATATTGTAAAGCTGTGTACTATTTTTGGTAACAACAAAAATAACTGAGTCAATGCGTCCTAAGTTTAACCTCAAACTTTTTGCGGCTTCCAAACTTACCAACGAGTGCAGTTGCAGAATTTATTTTAAGTTGTTAAATTATAAAACTTTAAATTGCTTAATATACTTATTTATTATATTATTGGTATTTACTACACATCAAAAACTCGCTCTTATTTGCCGAATCGGTCAAATCGTGCGCCACACATGCACAAAAAGAAACAATACATGTCAAAAATTATCTTCCACACACAACGAACACGTTCCACATACACAAGTTCTCAGCTGTTTTTCGCGCTGCCACATTTGTCGTTAGTTGATAAACTGACATGAAAAACAATACAAAATTTATTGGATGCTTATAATACTAACTACAAGCAATAATATAATATTTCGTATTCAGAGTTAAGTTCATAACTATGCTGTAATTAATTTAAATTATAATATATTATTTTAAGTTGCATTGTATATTCTAGAGCAGGTCTATCGAAAGTACGACCCACGGGTCTTATGCGGCCCACGGTTAATATTTGAGGGGTCCGCGACGCATTTCTAATCTTCCACAATTGGGCAAATTTTTCTTTGTTGTATTTTGGTAACATTACATTATTTTATTATTATGGCATCCAAAATAAATGAATTAAATAATTTATTACACTTCACGTTAATTTACTTAATTAACAAGGACTTTAGTATATATTTCTTAGTATAACTGGTTCAAAAAAACTCGCACCCAGTGCCATAAAACATCATATAAAAAATAAAATAATTTTCGTATGGCAACAACTAAGTTTAATAATGTGTATATTGATATAATTGTAAAGGATATATTATAAATTAAAATTCATTATGTATGAACGTATGTATTCATTTCTGCAGCCCTTCATCCTAATCAGTGTTGTCGGGTAACGAAGATTATAGAAACTATTATAGAAATTATAGAAAGTTTGTCATATGTACTGTTTTTATATAGTTATTTTGATGTATTCTTACGCTTTGTTTAATTAAATTAAAATTATTATAATTAGACGAATAAGACATTTCTTTCAGAGCACTGAATCTTAATGTAAATTTCGGTAATTCTACAATTTTCGAAAATTCTACAGCACCATAAAGTAAAGAAAAGTAACTATAAAGTATCTTAGGTTTTTAAAACCGATATTTCTGTGATTGTTCGCACATAGCAAACAATAAGACCAACGAGACTATTAGAAATTAACGACTTATTACTAGTTATGTATTTACTGTACCAGTTATATGTTCAAAACTAGCAAGTAATAGGAACAATGGGACTATCACAAATGAACGACTTAGAGCCTGAACTGAGAACTAATGTACTCATGTACGTTGTATCGTTTTGTGATGAAAAAGAATTGGTGGTTTTTAATCTTAATCATTAAATGAAAGCAATTTATCCGATAGGTGTTAAAGTTTGTACCTTTTGACAAAATCTTATATATTTCAAACCACGTGAAATTTTAATAATGAGGGATTTTAACGGAACCTTTATGAATTAAATTTGCTGAGGTATTAATGTTCACTTAATTAGAAAGTGTGAGATGGTAAATCATGATAAATTGAGACCTTTCTGACAGAGGTTCAAACTGAACAACATGGATTTGGATTTACTTAGGATTCAATGTTCGCTACATTGTGAATAACTCAATATAAAAGAGAAGATTATGATAAGTTATCAACTTATCTGCAGGTTTTAGACAATGTGAATTAGCAAGGGAAGATTGTGTACTGGGTAATAGAACATTGATACATCTCATTAACTGAAACTGGCAGAGGAAATCTAATGGAGTAAAGAAAGCTAGACCAGACAATATTACTGACAAAGATTCGAAGGAAAGTATCAAAGGGAAACTAGAGGTAGAAGAACTTTATTATGATGGCAACAACTACATAATAGATGATAGATGTCACTAATTGAACATCGTATGTAAGTTTTTACTTGGAAGTAACACACTCTATAGTTGCCATGATTTATTTTGAATATTTTCGCAGTTTATTTCTGAAACTGCGAAGAATACGATATATTTGTGTGTTTGATCACAGCTAAAGAGTTGTGTTCTATTAACTAGAGAAAGTTATGTATAAATAAATATAACAAACTATGGTACATACGAAAGATTTAATGAATAACTGAATAGAGTTGACCTGTACTAGAAAACTACATGAATATACATTCCTCTATTTTACTATTTCCAACAAACTAAAATATTTTTCTAATAGTGATCCAATACTTCAATTTGATTACGAATAAAAAACATATACAATCTCACTCCTTCTTCTGCAAAACTACATTCTTTTGCATATGCCATAAAATGTTGAGGTCAAATCGTTTCATATGAATTTATTGATCATTATCGATGATTTTGTTTCGTTGTTGTTTTTACGAGTAGTACCCCATGACTTGAGTTGAGATACATTTCAACATAATTTTAAAGCACGTACACCATTTGATTTGAGAGTGAAAGCAGTCAATGCAAACTCTTTGAAGATGTGATGAGATGTGCAGAAACCACAGAAATTCAACCTTAGCATATTGTCAAGGTCTGCGTATTGAATACGCAGGACAAAAGGTGTATCACGTATCTGCAATTTCCATTGTGACTTAATAAAGCTCAATTATTGGTGTTTTTGTGTTTTTTAACCTTAAATCTGCTTATAATGATTATACTGGAGTAGTACGTAAGAGACTAGTTGCTAAAATTTACCAAAAATAGATTTCTTATCTCGTAGAAAGTGTATATGTTTATGTTTTCTGGTAACGGCTTTTTACGGTTAGTTTGTTTCGAGATATTCTAGAAATAGTTTATTGAATTAAGTCTGGTTTGAGAATTTTGGTTTTCAATATGTTTTTCATCCATTTTTTCGGATAATGACTATTGCCTGCATGCATATGAGCCAAGCTGACTGCGGTTTCATGCATTATTGATATTAAAAGGCAATTTCTCAGCCATGACCACAAATTTTATTTCAAGGACAATGAAAACACATGCAAACAGACACTTTGCGGCTATCAAACAATTATCTGGTCAATTGCTTCTTATATAAGACTTTCCATAGATGATTCAATACATTGTGGCACTTTTACATTTTATATATTCTTTGTTTTATTAAACACTTTGTGGTTTTTTCAGTCTAGTAGGAAATTAATTCCAAAATTTTCATATTAAAAATGATAAATGACAAGTTTTTTGCTTAAGTCTTTTGTGTTTAAAATTGTTAGCGAGAATTAGGCATAACTTACAATATTTATATGTAGAATAATGTGGTCGAATATAAATAGCACAAAGTCAAAGCATCCTTTAAGCCCATTAAAATATATGACATATATGAGATCATTGCTTGTTTAATTGGTTACTAGCTATTTGGTAGACACGCATTTAGACTGGGAATTCTCTTATGAAATTCTATGTAACTGTGGAGATGACAAAGAAGAAGACACAGTTTGACACCTATGCTGCAGCTGTCTAGTCGTAGATAGTAGCAGAGTTAACTTTTTAGAAAATTGTGTTGGTAAATGTCTTATAGAAGACACCTAAAGCGCTTAAACTAAAAACATACTGGGCTTTGTTAATGCCTCGAAATGGTTCTGGAAATAATAAATCGGTGGGGTCTCGTTAGTAGTATTATCACAACGGGTTGCAGTGAGTCTCGAAATGGTTCCATAAATAGGCCCGTTTGTAGAGGTATCATAACGAATCTCTGTGAGTTGTTTATTTAGACTGACGTCCACAATAACTTAACCTAACCTACATAAACTCACAATACGTCTTCACACTTATATTGTCTTCTAATTTCATACAAAATAGAATATTTAATATCACTACAAACGTTAAATAATTAAAAATTGGTCAAGAGGTATTAGGACAATTTTAGATAATATTACATTTTTATGATTTATGGTTCCACTTTAAGGTTCCATTCAACTTAGAGTCAATAAATGTTCTTAAACACTTATAGTTAAATATCAGAGTTTAATTTAGTTTCTATATTTGAGAAATCCAAAACCGAGAACCTTCATAGTCTTCAATTTCAAATGTTCTGCTGAATAAAGTTATTGCACATGAGTTAACGTGTAGAGTACTTTGTAATATTAATATCATTATCTATTGTCTGTTAGAACTGAGGAGAAGGGGGAGCAAACAGGCAAAGTTTTTATATCTAACCTAGTAAATGATAGCATGAACTTTGTCATTGTTGACTCTAGATTGTATATTATGTATATTACTGCTGTGAGGGAAAGCGAGTAAACAGGCAGAGAATGTGATTGCATTTAAATTGGTGAATGCTAGCATGAATCTTATTCTTTTCAGATTGAGACCAGTTTCTATATAGCCGTTTCTGGCTATCTATAATCGTCTGTGTGCATTGAACTAATGTGTGCAACGAAACCTCTTTCAGGGACTTGTGAGATTATGTGTCGAACTTAAACTCATAAGCCCATCACTAGATAAATCACTCCTTGAATAAAAATGGAAACAATCCTAAAATGAAATGAACAACGGTAAGTACTTATTATAAAGTTTTTGATGGATATTTTTCTATAATTTCAATATTTATGTGACTTATTGAGCTCGTAGATGTACTCCACAAGTTAATAAAATATGCAGTATAACTTTCTAAATAACTATTTTTCTTTAGCTGAGAACTATTGAGATTGGAAGTAAAATTTTTTATTTTAATATTTACTAAAGTTGTAAAAGCTTTGCTTCAATATATTTTCGTCAGTTGTACCTTCTATCCAGATAAATGCCAAGCACATATATTAAACTCTCCTCTTATTTTTTCATAATTATTTTGAAATATCAACGTGTATTTTCAAGACAGAACTTGTAAGTATAAGTTATATACTGGTCCCGGATAACAGAGAGACCCTTAACAAACTAAAAACCCACGTTTTTTTTATTACAGCTTTAAACAGCTGCTTGCGTTAAAGCTCTGTGCACAATTTATGAACATGGACACACTCAGTTGATCATATTAAAAACCTGATAGCTGATTTTTCTCTTAGGGGGTCTTTCGCGAAAGGCCTGCAATGAGGAACTTTAGAGAAGGTATTGATCTATACCTGATTATTATACTAAGAAAAACGCTATGACAAAATCATAAATTTTTGTTTAAAGAATAATAAATGAATAATAAAAAATGATTTTCTTCATAAATACTTGGTCTAATTATAAATTAAATTGCTGATCGGGAGTTCATCAT